ACTGATACATGTTGCTATGAGGACACATCAGTTTTGAATCTTGAGGCAAGATTGAAAGACTTAAAACTGTATTATTAATATTAAATATAAATCAAGCCTTCATTTGTTATATCTGTGTCCATCAGATGCTGCCATTGTGGATTAGCCAAATGCATTGCCACCATCTCAGCTTCTATCACCAAGTCCAAATCCCTTCAATCCATAGGCCAAAACCAATGATCAAGGAAATACATTAATAGAATGTACCATTAGATGGATCGGACAGAGCTCGACATGACAATATAAAGAAGGAAAAGAAATTAAATCTTATTCATTCGACAGTCTAGTAACATCAATTACTTGAAAAGAAAAGTTAATTTTTTTTTCATTATACATTGAATTCTATCCAATAATGCATATGAAACACCAAACAGATTTGACACAAGCTAGCCGGCATTCAAAAACCAACCTATTAGGTTCCTTGCAGGAGGTTGTACAAATACTTAAAACTACATGTTCAAAATTAAAAGCTACAAGTTCAAAATTAGAGGTAGTCATTTTTCATCACAAACTAAACACACAAAGCAATAGAGATTGGGTTTTATAAGGCCCTAATTTCAATAGCAGATGAAAAGGACTTGATATGGGAATTAGAAAAAGAATTATTGGGGGCGGATGAATTCCGTACATCTCCCGAGAAATTGGTTGAATTGAGAATGAAGGTTCTAAAGAATAATATTAGCTACAGGTATAACCTAAGTGTATTTTTGACATAATATTAAAATGCTCAACAATATTAGCATCTTTCTCAGTACTTCCCGCTAAATGGACACAGAGATAACATGAACAAAATGCTCAAAAATATTAACATCTTTCTCAGTACTTCCCGCTAAATGGACACACTCTTCCCTTACCTGTAAAGATGCAGTATTAATACAAATCTGAGTAGAAACAACAATATGAGTTATGAATTAACCCGACACTAGACTAACAAGCCCAATGACCCAAGGATTTGTACTTCATAATGCTTGCAAGGAAAATGCAAAAACTCCTTTTAAGTTTTGTTGTGCAACCAGCAATTCACAAGCTAGTGCTTGCCCCCAAATATTTTCATTTTTGGGGGGTATCTAGGCAACAATTTACTAGTATATTGTTCTAGTTACATTTGACAAATACATCCACAAAACATTATAAATGATAAATAAATATTCAACAGAACCAATCTTTAGCTCATAAGATAATATATACTTTCAAAACTGGTTCCCAAAATCAAAACAAATAACCAATGATTTCAAAAATTGATTAAATTCGCTATTGTCAAAATTGTCAATTCCCACAAATCATATATGTGTATATACTTCTGTGCTCTAACATGTTATCTTTGTGTTTGTATAGAAATGCATACACGGAGAATAAAGGTTCATTTTGATTCATGTTTTCAACAAATCAAGTTGCTCATCAAATTCAAAAAACCCTTTTCCACAATCCATGAAGAAGATGCAGGTTACGACACAAGAGAGCAGAACAATGATTTGAAGAGCAGAATTTTCAGATTCAGCCTCAATTTTTACACCAAACAAATAACAAAACAGAGAAGAAATCGGACCCTAACAACTATGATATGGAATAGCAACGAAATAATCAAAGATTATCACAAACAAAAAATCAAAACCTTGATTAGAAGATGCGATTTTCAGATTCAAACAGCCCGTTGAGAAGCCTTCAATTGGAAAAAACCAGCTCAAAACCTTGATTTGAAGATCCCGTAGACAACCTTTCGATTTGGCGTCCAGATCTATGTTGATTTTGGGTTGTGGCTTGTGAGAGGAAATTGATTTGGGGTTGTGGATCGGGGAAGAGAGAGAGGGAGAAGGTTGAGAAATGAGAAATTCGTTTCCCGTATTTTGTAATTTTCCTTGTTTTCTTGTATGATTTTCCAAAACGATGTTTTAGTAATTTTCTATTTTTAGTTTTTTTTTTTTCCATTTTTCAAAACGTGTTTTCGAAAATAAGATAGAGAACGCATTTTCGCTATTTTGAAAAATTAAAAACAGAAAACGACTTGAAAACGACAAAGAGAACGGGGGCCTTACTTTGCCTCTCCCACTAAGTTGCATATTTTATTCTCAACCTTTGAGTCTTACTAAATGGCAGTGTTCTAACCGGTGTAAGACGTCGTAAGGTAATGAAATTGAGTCTCAAGCTTTACAAGTCTAATGGTGCCTAGTTCTAGGCATAAAAAAAAAGATATTTTCTTATTTTTAGTTGTTTTACAGCTATTAAATAAATAAAATAAAGGAACCAAACAATTAAAATCACATATACTATAATTACTAAATAATTTTAGAATTGAACAATTTCAAAAATTTCAAAAACAAGACAATTGAAAATTAAAAGCACAAAAACATTTTTGAGGTAAAATAAGTAACACACTAATTTAGTGCCTAGGTCCACATAGTCCGAGGTCTAAAATATGACTCAAAGAAAGTTCGTATGCTTTTTGACACCTAGATCTGCATAAAACGGTTAAAGAGGAATTGACTATCTTTTCCATACCTTGCCATTATGTAGGATGTTATGAAAACGCCTCAAGCCTAGACAACACCTTTTCATATCTTGTGGAGCACTACTAAATGGTGCTATTAATTTCGTTCGATTGTCTCTCTTTACATCAAGCCTAGACAATGCATTTTCACGTATCTTAGAACACTGCTATCAATTTCGTTCGATTGTCTCTCTGTGTTCCCCTACAAAACATTTAATTTGAAACTGCCACAAAGCATGTAACTAGTGAAACTATGAAGGATTGATTCTAAACCCTCGTGACAAAAACTATCACACGAACTGCAAGTGAATTCAAAAACACACAAGGGAAGGGATTCCTAAAGAACAAACTAGTTCCTTTACACATGCATAGACGATAAATAAACAGTTGATTACGTAAAATTGTACAAAATTAATTCTTACAGACAGTCTGTCCATGGAAATAAACACAAACTGAGAAGAAGTAATAATTGTTACTCTCTTTTATATGTTCTCGCATATGGGATTATGTCTGTGTTCCAAAAGGGGAAAAGTATCTGTTGGTGATGACCATTATGGAGAAGAAGGGGCCAACCTTTGGAAGTTACTTGAGACTGTTGCCGAACAAGAATCACTAATGGCGGGGATGATGTTGGAGATTCTCGAGAGACTGGAAAAGGAAACTTGATACATATGTGGACAACTGAGAAGTTCATGCAAGGTATATGGGATCTAGAGCCCGTGGAGTATGCCAAGAAACTAATTGGTAGAAATTTAATTCAAGTTGTTCGTAAAATATTTGATGAAAGGATCAGAATTCAAGTTGTACATCCAAGTGTGGAGCTGATAATTGCACATGGAGATTTAGAGCTTTCAAACTTGGTGAAACGGTTATGTTTAAAATAAGGTACATCAGAAACAGTCATTGTTGCTCAATGAATATTGTTTTGGGTGATCGTAGACAAGTAACGAGTAATATAGTTGGAGACTGCACTGAGCACAAGTATGCATCCACGGTGACAATTTACACTATGGGGTTATTATAAATGATATGGCAAGGACATATGGCTTGAATTTGAATTATGGGAAAGCTTGGAGGGCTCGAGAGCATGAATTGGAGACAATATTGGGAAATCCGGAAGGATAATATAGAAAGGTACCAATTGTCGTGATTGATGGTACGTACCTAAATGGACAGTATGGTGGAACATTAGATGACAATTTTTGTACTTGCATTTAGAATTTATAACATAGACAACAACAATTCATGGGAATGGTTCCTAATGAAATTTAAGGAAGCATATAGGGGAAAGAGAACATATGTGTCTTGCATTGGACCCCTAGAAGATTGTGGTCAAAAGGAGAAGGTAATTAATCAAGTGACACAACGTGGAAGGTTTGATGAAACTAAAGTTTAGTGCAGTAGTTTATAATTATTCATCCACGTGATGGATGGACGCATTTAAAATACCAATAAGAACTTTTAGACAACCAAAAGGGAGCTCTTGTTAAGTCGAGAGAATGAGTTTTTCTATCTTAAGTCGCCCTCGGTCGTACCCGCATCTAAGCAAGAGAAGTGGGACACTAAATCAAAATTTTCTCAAGGTCTGCCTACTTTATTCATAAAGTGCAGATAGCTTGAACTTAAAAGTGTACATTTAGGAACAGCTCCCTCTTTGAAATTTGCAGATAAAGATGAAATTCTTTGCTTAGGATTGGAGACTAAAAGATTTACATAGGAAAGTTCTTCTCCCTAAGAAAAGTATATGCAAAGCAGACAGCATAAAGTGGGAAACAACTTTGGCGGTATTGATGCCACAAAAGTGGATTATGTCAAGAGAAAAGGCATAATACAATGTGGAAAAATGTCTATACCTTTTTACATTAATAAGAAATATATTACTAAACCTATTCTCTTAAGTCATCAATGTAATGATAATCTCAACGTGTAACTTCGATAAATACAATAATAAATTAACATTTCATGTATTTCTTTTATGTAGTCATGTCCAGTCTAACATACCAAATATATTATCACTATTTTCGAAATACTGCACAACGTTTACCATTTTGGTAACTCGATGATGATGGTATTGTTAGACACCCCGTTCGCTTTTTTGTGAAAAATAATAAAGAAATCGTAAGTCAAAAACACATCACAAGCTAGTTTCTTGGCACTTTTTTCCTCCATTTTTTAGTGTGATTTCAAGATTATTTTAAATTGGGCTTGCTTTTAAAATTTTTTAAAAAAAAAGTATGTTATTTATACCTGATTGAATTCTTTAATACTTGGAAAAGCATCTAAATTGAACTTTTTGAATGAGCCATAGACAAGCTTGAAAATGATAAAAGGCACGGACTATCTAATCTATAGATTATAGCCTTGTTACCCTCAAAGCATACACAGAATCTCCGTCACCTTTCGTAAAGAAAATCAGATGAAAAATCCCAGAATTCTTGAATTCATGTCAAGAAAATGGATTTTTCTTTTCTTGATCATGTTATCCACAGCAAAATCTGAGGATCAAACAGGCATGCCAGAAGCAGGTTTATTATGCATTAGTGACTGTGAAACATGCCCTGTCATATGTTCACCCCCACCCCCACCAGTCAATTTAAAGCCGCTGCCGCTGCCACCGCTACAGCCACCAGTCCACCACCACTCGCCACCGCAGCCATACTATTTTGGCTCACCACCGCCATTTTCACTACCGGAACCACCACCTCCTCATCGTCCGACTTGCCCTCCACCGCCAGCTTATATTTCATTGGACAAGAGCCCTCCACCTCCTCCCCCCAAAATCATATACACTCCAGGGAATCAGTCACCCAGTGTTGGTGTACCAAAGAATTATCCTTATCCTTACTACTATTTCTATGCTTCAAAAGCTGCTCCTATTCCCAATCGGGAATCCATTTTTTATTTCTTCTTGTTGTTTATTTCAAGTTTTGCACTTCTTAGGTGACTAAAAGTTGTATTATAATGGTGGAGAGTTTGAAGAATCAAAGAGCAATCCTTTGGAGTGCATATTAAGCTAGAAAAACCTTTTAGTAGCAATGTATATGATCTTTATATTGTTTGTTTGTCCCTTTGCATTTTGTACACCTTAATTATCCTTTGTGATTCAATTAATTGTCATGTATTTTGGGTATTCTAGGATTTATTTATGTATTGTAATTATAAAATACATATAGCAAATAAAATTTTCACACATGAATCATCTCAAGGTTAATTTGTATGTTATGAAGAATTGAGAAATAGCTATGTACTCCTTGATGTTTAGTGGAAGTCGAATTCAAAATTCTTTCTTTTGTTATCACTTATCGTTGCTCTTTGTTATCAATGTTGTAATGCAATGGAGGAATCATCAACAAATAATACCTACAAATTGAAAATCGAACCCATCTTTCCTCCTGTCTTCCTTTCTCTCTGCTCTTACCAAGACTCCCAATTGTTGATTTTCAATTATACAACATGTATCATTTTGACTTGTCGTGTTTGAATTGAAATAATTTTCCGATTCCATCGGTGAACATAAGAAGGGAGAAAGTAGGATGCAATATATTGGAGGCAGGCTAGGACACAAGGAAAAGGAAGAGAATACGATACAACAATATGAACACGCTAGTATATCGATGAATAATTAATGCTGATGTAAGCAAAACTTCTAATCATTTTATTCATGTCAAAAGAAAAGTTGATACAATAGATAATACTTCAAAAAATAATAAATATAAATGGAAAAATATAAATGTTGACATCAAAATGGTCATAAACTCCAAGCAATGGTGCAATTTTTCAAATTTACAATGTGATCCTCGAATACTTTCAAAATATTCAGTTACACCCATAAAGCATAAAATTCATTTTCTAGACCCCAATTGGAAAGATCTAAAAAACCACTGTACAGATCTCCCCTTTAGTTTAGCGCGAGTGCAGAAATTATATGATTTTGAGCTCTCAAAATGCCTACAATGGAGTCACTGGAAGGTCCGGCGAACGATGAGACGGCGATGGCGGGGTTTCTCCCTCTTGCTTCCGCTTCTCAGCAGCCATACGTCTCCGAACTCCTTTCATTTACTCTCGATCGCCTCCACAAGGTTCCAACATTATTCAACTCACAAACAAACACAGTTTTATATATTTTTTCGTTTATGTATTGGACTTCCGGTTTTTTGGTCTGATTGTTGTAGGAGCCTGAGCTATTGAGGGTAGATGCGGAGAGAATTCGGAGGCAGATGCAGGAGGTGGCTGTGGGGAATTATCGCGCGTTCATTGCAGCAGCCGATGCGTTACTCGAGATCCGAGAGGAGGTTTCCTCTATCGATCAACACCTTGAATCTCTGGTAGATTTTTGTTGTTTTCATTTTTTTTTTTTTTAAATTCAGTTTTCGACTATATCATATGATTTATACAATTTAAACTATGATTGTAATGTGAGATAATTATCGATATTGAGTTGCAATAACTGGACTGAGTTGGTAATATGATTGAAATAAAATGCTAGCTATGGGTGAAGATGTGGAATAAGATCCTGTGTGAAGGGTTCTTCTTAATAAAATGAAGTACTGTTTCTCGTTTAATTTAATTCGTGATGGAAAATGGTAGTGCTTATTGAAATAATGCTATTTATGTGTTATATTCTGAGCAGTAGTAATTATTGATTGCTGTGATGTACGTTACGGTAGGAAACTTAGGTAGGTTAATGTTGTGAAGGGAATTATTGTGGTATATTTTGTTTAAGGGTTTTTTCCATCATTATTTCCCACATGAAGACTTCTAATTTGGGGAAAAAATAAAAAGATCGGTGTTTTCTATAGTACACAGATGCACATTTATATTGGTGTGCTAGTTAGTTTTGATTGTTGGGCAGTGCAGTATAAGAAGTTCACCAGTTCTCCAATGGGACAGTGTAAATTATTGCTATTTTTGTTGCAAACACTGTGAGAAGTCCGCTGCATTCTTAATGCAGTTTATAGTTGTGTGAGCAAAATAAAGGTGGAAGCTTGTTATGTTAACTACTATGTTTGCAAATTGTTGATCCAACTTTATTCTTTTGAACCTGTTGCATTGTTAACAAGTCAATTGATGCTTTGAGTAAACTAAATGGGAATATTGGGAGTGGAAGAAGGTTGAATTTGTGGCAAATGTTGGCATGAATGGCACAAGGAAATGGTTGTTACCTTGAATATGTGTTGACCTTGTAGTTTAAAGAGTGATCCACTGTGAATATTAGCTTTTCGAACCAGTGACTTCAAATTAGTATTAATCAGAATAATTGGTTTTTTTCACTGCTCTTCAATGCTCATGGGGAGAATATTAAGAATTGAAAAGATTAAGTTCATTGTAGCTTCATTTCTTGTTTTTCAGATAGCTGAAATCCCAAAGTTAACTTCTGGTTGCACTGAGTTTCTAGAGTCAGCGGAACAAATATTAGAGAAGAGGAAGATGAACCAAACCTTGCTTGCCAATAGTAGTACTTTGCTTGACTTGCTTGAAATTCCTCAGCTTATGGACACGTACATCTCTAAACTTATTTGTTTCCCTTATTATTTATCTTATATATTTAATGCTGTAACAGTTGAATTTTATCTTTTGGTAGATGCGTTCGGAACGGGAATTATGATGAAGCTCTTGACTTAGAAGCATATGTTGTAAAACTTACAACAATGCACCCAAAGTTAGTTCTGTCTCTAATTCTACTCATCAACACACATTTGTTTTATCCTGTCAACGTATTTATGAAGGCACTCTTCTCTTTGTTTTCCTTCAAAAAAAGAATTCCAGTGATTCAGGCTCTTGCTGCAGAAGTTCGGCAGACCATCCAGTCTCTTCTTACTCAGCTTCTCCAAAAACTCAGATCAAACGTCCAGGTTCCTTGACATATCTCAACTACTGTGTTGGTTGTTAAGCATGTTGAAGTTTTAAGGCTTGATTGCATATATATTTGTGCCTGCAGTTGCCGGAATGCCTTCGCATCATTGGATACTTACGTAGGATAGGAGTATTTAGTGAGTACGAAATGCGCCTACAGGTTTGCTACATCAAGACTTCATACATTGTCGTTACTTGATTCTACCATTTCTTTTTACTTGTACATTCTGGCCTTAGATGTATTCGTCATTGAGTTTCTGATCAAGCTCCTTTGCAGTTTTTGAGATGCCGTGAATCATGGCTTACCGGAATACTTGATGACTTAGACCAGAGGAATCCATATGAATATTTAAAAGGGATGATAAATTGTCACAGAATGCATCTTTTTGATGTCGTTAATCAATACCGAGCCATATTTGCGGATGATACATCAGGAAGTGAAGAAAATCATGATGGCGGGCTTCTCTTCAACTGGGCCTTGCATCAAATTGCCTCTCACCTCAAAACTCTTAAAGTCATGCTCCCTAAGATAAGTGAAGGAGGATCTTTGTCGAACATTCTAGATCAATGCATGGCGAGTACCTATCATCATTGACTTTCACATCATCATGCTTATTCATTTATTACCCACCCCCCC